ACCTGCGCCCGGCTTGCGCGCAGCCGGAGGCTGGGAGGGCGCCGCGGAGAGGACGCGAGCCGCGCGAGACCAGCTGCGCACCTGGAAAGTTACCCGCGGTCTGGTCTGGTGAGGTGCGCGGCTGCGGGGCTCGGGTCCGGGGGCGCGCGGGGGTGGGGGACAAGGTCGGACACACGCGTGTGCGCGCTTGCGACGCGAGGTGCGCCCCGGCTGCACACCCAGCTGTCCCCCGCGTGTGCTGTTTGCGTGTGGACGCGTGGACGCGCCGCGCTCGCTCGGTGTCGCGGTTCCCAGTGGCTACCACGGTCTTCCCCACTGCTGCTCTGGGCTGGGAGTCTGGCGGCGCGGTCGCAGCGAGGGCTCCGGGCTTTGCCTCTCCGAGCTCCGGATAGCTGTGAGGAGAGGAGCACGCGTGCAAGGACTTTTACAAGTCCTTGTAAACTTGTGTGGGTGTCCTGGGTCCCTTTCAGCGTCACGAGGCGCGTTCACGGCTCTGTATTTCATAGTGATGAAGAAACAAGAACCAACGAACGAAAACAAGAAATCAGCCACTTTGGGGATGAGGGTACAAGGGTACATTCTCCAGTGCTTTGACTTTCTTTCTCTTCATATGCAGAGCAGTTGAGGCCAGAGCTGAGAATAGAAAGAAACTATGCAGGCAGAAATAAGGAGGTAGAAAGGATGACGCTCATACAACGTGGCTTCCTTATGGTCCTGTTGCCCCCTTAATTTCCAGGGGGCACTTTCTCCTTAAATAAAGGAAGAGAGCAACAGACACCTACTAGGCGCGCCACTTCCATGTGTACTGTTCCTTGGGAACTGTCTTTTCAAGTTTCCATTGCACTCCTGGAGATGGAGTTGTCCCACATAGCAGACAGCAGCTGTTGACAGTGTCCCTGTTCAGTTTTGCACAGTGGAGTATGAGCAAATATGCTGGAGAATTCTCCGGATAGCTGGAGGTTGCCCTCTGCATGGCAATGCTGTCTAATTAAGAATGAGCCACATCCAGAGATGAGACCTGATAAGCTTCATGTTTTACGTGGAAGACGTAGCTCTAGTTGGGCGGAATCCCTAGAAGTGACGCTAATGAGATTTACCTCACAGGGAAGGTGTGTGTTGCCTGGATGTCTCACAAGTCCTGTGATCCCATACTGTCTTTCTTCCTTTAGGCTATTTTCCTGTTATCTCCTTCTTTTCTCCAATGTTTTAATTTTCTTTTTATTCATTGGTTCATTAGCCTGGGTTTATGGGCAGTCACACTTCTGGCCTTGTAAAAGTCCCCTTGATGACCCACAGCACCATCTTGAAGCTCCCAGTCTCAGCATTCACTGTGGTCCTTTGTAACTGAGTGTCTAGCCTGACTCTTCCACAAAAGCCTCGGCTCAGGGCTTTCCCCTCTCATCTCATTTCTCTTTGACTGGTCTGGGACTTGAGCTGTAGCCTGCACCTCTCTTGGAAAATCTTCTGTCTGTGGCCGCTATGATAGTTTTTTTTTTTTCTTTTAGATTTCTTGTTTGTATAACCATTCCTTTTCCTTTGTTGTTTGCTTTCCCATCTCTCCCACAAAATCCAGTTACCAATATGCTCATACACAGCCACAGAAGCATGCCTTCCTTTTCTTCCCTTAATGATCTCATCTGCTAATGGGACCTAAAGTCTTATCTTTCTAGGACAGTCCCTTGATTTTGCGTCTTTGTGTATCCTTACACGTTTCCACTTTGATGTTCTCAGACACTTCCGATTCTACTTATATGAATCCTGACCCACTGCAGTCCCCATAGGGCATATTCATTCTTCTGCCTTCCACCAGTGCCGCAGAGCCTGGCCAATGGAGGTGCTCTGTGTGTCATATTAGGATGAGGAAGTAAATAATGTGCAGTGAAAAGTACTACTTTCTTCCAGGCCTTCCAAGATTTAAAAAAAAAAAAAATTGGAATCATTTTGCCTCCGCACATGTGCACGTGCATTTATTTCCCATGCCAGAGGCTTTACCTTGTTCCATCCCCATGTTTCAATACCAAACACTCTACATTCTTTCTCACTTCAACCAAAGCAAAAGCTTCTACCCCTTCTCCCGTCTTCTTTCCAGTCTCATATAGACCTAGACCCTCCTTGGCTCTTCATAGGCAGTCTCTGGGCTGCTTCTTCAGCTTCAGCTTCCACTTACTTGCCCTTTTCTGTGCTTCACTTCTAGATCTCCCTTTGTTTTCATTCTCTAGGCTCTCATTCCTTACTGTTTAGGAAACCTCTTTGCCTTAAATTTCCACAGGTCCCTCAAAAGCATGCCCATACTGTGGTAGTCTCAAATTGCTCCTCCTTTTGGTTAATGATACCCCTTGCTACAGAATCAGCTCACAAATCTTTATTCTCTTTCTTAGCCCTAGCACTCAAATTCCATAAGCTATACTTTTCCTGACCTGTACCTACCGATCCACCTTTCTGTATGTTCCCTGTTTATCTGTTAATGTAGTACCTGAAAATAGTGGAATAGAATCTACCAGATTTGGCAATCAAAATATAGATATGCGGTATCCACTTAAAATTCACTGTGAACATTCTGTTGGGGGCAAGGAGACTTCAAAGCTAGACTAGAGTAGTTGAAACTTTGGTGCAGTGAGCTCCTATGATTGCATGCCAAGAGAAAAATATTCTCCAAATGAAGATCATGTGGACAGAGAAAACAAGAAGAAGATTCAAAACTGAGCCCCAGGTCAATAGTCACAAGGCCTTGTAGACATTGCTCTAAATTGTGGCATTGCTATGGAATGTAGTAGTTTCTCACATGGACAATTTTGTGTGTTTTGCTTCAGGGCGAAGTAGGAATTTATATGTCCAATGATGGTTAATTATTTTCTCCGTGTACTATGGTGAGACAAGCTAATCGGAGCAATAAAGCAATATGTCTCAATTTCACATACACTTAGAATTTTATCTAGAAAACTTATGTAGCTCACTTGCCTGATTTCTAACTAAACTGCCCACATTAGAAAAATCATGTATCATACTTTTCATGATTTATTGAAGGAAAGGAAGTTGTAGAGATACCTGTAGACATTTTTGTGAAATCTTCTGTGCAGATGTTTTTCTCTTCTGATTGTCATGGAGATGGTCCTTTGTTTCCCTCTAGTTAAAGTTCACATCGTTAGAATAGGGTCAGGACCCTGGGATGGCCTTAGTCCTGTACTTACAATTTCTTATTTGGATTGGTGCAAGACCCTTCTAGTTTCCTTTACTTCCTTTAAGCTCTCTCACTCAGTTCCATGTTTATTTCCAAGCAATTACTTTACTAAAGGAAAAATATGACCCTGTAACTGAAAAAAACCTGGCTTACATTAAAATCCAGAAACCATAACGCAGCATATGAAGTTTTCCAGTATCTCACCCAGGATCTTACTTTTTTAGCTTTATTACTCATCACTTTTACTCCACCCTTCATGCCTTCTAGCCTGTTCTCTGACTATACTATCGTCTTCCATTCATTTTTAAGAAAATGTTCTTTTAAACAAATGACTTTCTATTTTAGCACAGTTTAGGTTTTACAGAAAACTTGGCTGAAAAATAAGAGTGCCTATATATCTCCCCTCTAGTAGTTTTCTCCATTCTTCACATCTTACAAGTGTGATATATTTGTTATAATTGAGGAACCAATGTTGATAAATTGCAATTTTTAATGAAAGCCCCTAGTTTACAATAGGAATTACTGCATGTACTGTACTTCTCGTAGGTTTTGACAAGTGGACGATGACATATATCTACCATTACAATATCATACAGTATAGTTTCACTGCCCTAAACATCCCTTGTCCCGGTGTCCCACCCATTCATTCCTCCCTCTTTCTCCCAAACTCCTGGCAACCACTGATCTTCTTACTGTCTTCAAGGTGTTTTCTAGAATGCCATATAGTAAGAGTCAGACAATCTGTAGGTTTATCAAATGGCTTCTTTCACTTAGGACTGTAGCGCCTCTATGTCTCTTTACTGGTTGTTGTTACCTTTTCACTATTGAATAAGATTCCATTATATGGATATACCACAGTTTTGTTTATTATTAACCTATGGAAGGCATTGGTTGCTTCTAAGTTTCAGCAATTACAAATAAATCTGGTGTAAACATTTACTTGCAGTATATAGTGAAGACTTGCCTTTATTATTGGTTGAATGAACACCAAGAAGCATGATTTCCTTTGGAAAAAACTGATACCCTGCCTTCCAGAGTAGCCACATCATAGCATACTCCTACTAGCAATGAGTGGGAATTCCTGTTGCTCCACATCCTTGCCAGAGTTTGATGGTGTCAGTGTTTGGATTGTTGCCATCCTAATTTGTATAGTGCCATTTCCTTCTTGTTTTAATTTGAGATTCACTAATGATGCATGACATTGATCAATTTTTGTATGGTTATTTGCTATCTGTAAGTCTTTGGTGAGGTGTCTGTCCAGCTCTTTTACCTTTCTTCAGTGGATTTTCTTTCTTTCTTTCTTTCTTTCTTTCTTTCTTTCTTTCTTTTTTTTTGAGTGTTAAGAGTTCTGGGCCTAGGATATAGCTCAGTGGCACAGTGCCTGCCTGGCAAGAGCAAGGTCCTGAGTTTGAGTCTTGGTACAAAAAAAAAAAAAAAAAGAATATCTCCTTTATTAGATATATTTTGCAAGTACTTCTCCAATCTGTGGCTTCTCTTTTCATTTTCTTCTTTTGAAGAGATATTTTTAATGTTAAATAAGTTCAGATTACAATTTCTCCTTTTACAAATTCTGCTTTTAGTCTTTTATCCAAAAAATCATCAGCAAACCCCAAATCTCCTAGGTTTTCCCTATGTCATCTAGGAGTTTAATAGTTTTGGGTCATATGCTGGGTCTGTAGTCCAAGTTGAGCTAGTTTTTGTAAAAGATGGAAAGCCTATGTCTAGATTTTTTTTTCATTTTAAATGTCTAGTTTTTCCAGTACTATTTGTTAGAGGCCATTTTCCCATTGATTTGCATTTGCTTCTTGGTCAAGGCCCAGTGAAGAATATTGTGTAGTTGTATTTCTGGCTTTCTCTTCTGTCTTATTCATTAGACCCTTTACAGTCACTTCCATTTTCCAAACTATCTCGATTAGTGCAGCTTTTTAGTAAGTCTTGAAGTTGGGTACAGTCAGTTCTTTGACTATAATCTCGTATTAAATGTACTTTTTGTTTGGGACAGTGTCTCACTATGTGGTTCAGGCTGGCCTTGAACTTGCTGAAGTCCTCCTGCCTCAGTCTTCTGAGTGCTGGGGTTACAGGCATGCATCACCATGCAAAGCTTGATTTAGTACTTTTTTTGATGAGTAAGTTTTTCTACTAAGATAAGTTATTTTGTTGGGTAAATATTGTTAACAACTATAATAATAATAATATTTAATATTACACATGCTTTATGCTAGGCAATGTTAAATTCTTATGAATTATCTCATTTAACCTTCTAAATACTCTAAGCGATGTGCAGCAGTATTTTATCTGTCTGTCCCTCTATGTGTCTGTCTCTCTCTTCTGTGATTGATCATAATTTGCTTCAGTACATAGATACATTAAGCAAAGTGCTCAGACTGGGCCTCTTAGCCACCATTATACTGTCTCCTGTATTTACAGATATACACATAGCTACACATACATATAAATAAGTGTGTGTGCCTGTGAGTATATTTATACAAGATTCCAGATGGATAGAGAAAGAAACAGATATTTTCTAGATCAGAGCCAAGAATTTGGTTTCACACTGCTCTAGAAGGAAAAACAGAACAAAGCCCAGCTCCTCCCACACTGAGTGCCAGGTGCTAAAGGGCTTGAAAGAGCCTTTGTGGCAACTTTCACTTCTTTGTGTGTCTCTTCTGTTTGTCATTTGGGGGCTTGGATTTTCTAAGTGGTGAGCAAATTCATATGACAATAAAATTGTTGCATGGTCATCTCTTCTTGCTAAATGCTCCTGTTTATTCCTTTCATCCTTTGCTGTGGAAGAATATCACCTTTCCAATGAACGAATTTTTCTTACCTTCAGAAATAGTAATTACTAGATATGGAGTTATCTAATATCATTTTTGGCTTAAGAATTTCACTGTACCATATGAAAATAAATAGAGCACCTGAAGGAATCACATCCTTGTAATTCTGGACTGGCTTTGTGTCATTTGAAATGGGTTTTCCTCATCTCCATCTTTTGGTGTGGTTTGCTTCCTCACTGCTCTTATGGAATGACTTCCTTTTCTAAATGGAGGATATAATCCAAACAGAGCAATCATTCTCTCCCCCAGGGGAATATTTGCATCCTCAAAGGCCTCTTGTCTGGAAGGCAGTTTACTAGATTTAATATCCCCTCCCCATAAGTAGTCTCTTCTGGGCTTCTCTGATGTCAAGACTTTAAATAGCTGTCTCTGGCCCCATCTTATGAAAAGAGCTGCTATTTGCTTGGTGTGTATTATATACAGGCATTGTAGACGTTGGACTTTACAACCGTAATCTTCATAATAACCTTACGAGATAGATACAAATCTATCCATTCTATAGATAAAAATACTAAATCAGAGTAATAATCCATTACAAGTTGGGAGGGGCCAGATGGTTTTGCAACATGCAATGGCTTGACTCTGTTGCTCATGTTAAATTCAGTCTTCATCTCCAAAATCCTTCCTTATTATATTGTGGATTGCCCATTGAATATAAGAATGGTTTTATTAACCTGTAGTTGCTGGATTGATGAGGAGCAGCCTGTTGCTCACTTCTTGTGGCTACAGTCCATATTTGAGAAATAGCTTATCTTGGGATTAGTACAGGAAATGCAGTGAATCTCATTAAGTTTTAAGAAGTCAGAGACTTGAAATCTGGACTTCAGGGATAGCAAAATTTAAGCAGGTTAACTAAGAAATCAGACTGGTAGTGGACCACTAGTAATTTATTTACCTTAAATTAGAGACTTGAAAGGTGTTAGTTACTTTCATTTCACCCTACTTTGAAAGCCTAAAATAGCTTAAAAGATTTATACAGCCTCTAATCTGACTTCATTAAAACCAGAGAATTGTTGATGTTTGGGGAGAATTTAATACCCTTTGACTAACTGAGCTTCAGGTTTGTAAAACCTTTGCACTGGAATAGAAGTTTTTAAAGACCATTCATGGAACAAAAATAATTCTGAGCTTTTTCATAATTAGTATGCTAGAACTTTCACTGTCAAATTTGACTGCAAATCTTTAAAAGGATATGCCTCTGATATAGTACAATGGCGGTTAGTTAGATCTTAGTAAACAACTGTTCCATGAATAAAGAATGAGCTGTTAGTTTGATATGAAATGTGTTTATATTTAATTTTGTTCTTTATAAAGCATTTCCTCTTCTTCCTTGGCCTGACCAAGTCTTGTCCATCAACCAAAAGGTATGTCTGGAAGATGGCTCACTGCTGCATGTTAAAAATTTGTGCTCCTGTTAATTTAAAGTCCTCTGGGAGTATCTTTTTATGCTTGTAATTTAGAATCTCATTCAAGTCTATTCTCAGGTCTCAATCTAGCATCTTCTGAGTTGCTTATTCAGGATGAAAGTGTGTCCAGGGTTACTTCTTCAAATTCTAGTCTCCTGAAGCTTCTTTACGTGCTTAATATATAGAAATAGTAGGTGCTGCTGGGTGGACAGAAACTAAAGGTTGAACCTGTCACATCTCTGGAATATATTAAAGCAATTATCTCTAGGCTGATGTTTCTAATTGGCTACTTTGAATTCTATGAGGAATATAAGCCAGTGGTGCAAGATTACTTCTATAAGTTTTGTTTGTACTGTCCATCTTAGGCAACCTGTATGGATTATTTGGTTGTGTGTATTTGAAACTTAGAAGCCTTATTCCATGTTTATGTCTATGTCTTTCTGCTGGACTAAGTCTAAGCACTCCATTTCTATCTGAGTTTGAAATTTAGAAGGGAGGAGTGGCAAGGGAATGTGGGTTATAACACTGTAGTTTCATCCTTCCTGCTTCTAGATAATTAGAAGTAATTCAGCTTGGTTTGCAAATGCTATAATCCTTCTTGGGTTGTGGCTGCCAAAAACTGCACTTGCAGAAGTGTGAAGCTGAAATAGGTAGCCTAAGAAACTCTGAGCCTTATGGGAATTAATCAGATCAGTATTCTCCAGATTTTACCAATTTGAGTTTGCTTTTCATGATCTTGCTCATATGTGCTTATTACCTGTATGTATTTGTATTTAATTATATTGAATTGGCTCAGTAAACCTAAAATTCCTAATTTAGCTCCTACTAAAATAATAATATCAATTTGTGGTGCTAATTATTTTTTAATAAGTGTCAAAATAGATTAATAGCTATTTGAGCTAGAAAAAAATAATTTTGAATCAACCACAATCATCTCCCAGAGTTCCTGATCTTTCTATCATGTCCTGAGACTTACAGGATCAGGGATTACTTTAGGGCCTATACTAAGGATTTTTCAGTAGGAGGAGAATGGAGCTTCCTACCATAGATGGGCATGTTTTGGACAACCTTGACTTCAGGCTCAAAAGTAAAGAATGTAGAAGAATCCATGCCTCCATTTCCTTTTGAAGATCACAATCCAGAAGTTTTTTTTTTTTTTTTTTTTAACAGTAACCGTGATCAGAAATACAGCAGGAGATTAGTACCTACAACAAGAGAAAAGCACTAATAAGGCAACACCAAGTCTGCCTCCACCTAGCAAGAATGCCGATATGTTATATTCTAAATCAGGGGAAGCTTCCTTACTGTGTTGTCTCGCAGGGAGCTGTGAGAGTTGTGACATTTCCAAGCCTCTGTTGCTGTAGCTCCTCCTTTGTGTCTTATCTTTCACCATGCTGACATCCAAATCGCAGTCTTGTGATGCTTTCGACAGCTGTCCAGAGAGAATGACCAAAGAGAACAGCGGGTAACCCAGGCAAAATGCTTAGGTGCCATACTTGTGCAAAGGGAAGGGAAAGAATGAACCCAGTTGCCAACTCCTCTTGGAGGGAGAAAGGAAATCAGATCAGTAGCCTTCCTTGTGGATGCACGAGGGAATCGATGGCTCACCAAACTATGATGACTGCTCTGCTTCTATCTATGAAGCAGATTGGAAGGAGAGGGGAGGTGGGGCTGTGGGAAAACGGAACTCCATTGGTCATTCTCAATTCTCTGCCCTTTCTCAGGTCCCAGGGCACCATGGGAAATGGTTCAGTGAAACCCAAACATTCCAAGCATCCAGATGGCCATGCCGGGAACCTCAGCGCTGACGCCCTGCGAATCAAGGTGATGGAGCTGGAGAGAGAGCTGAGGAGGAGGGATGCTGAGATCCAGGAGCGGGAGTTCCATCTGAAGGAGCTGCGGGAGCAGCTCTCAAAGCAGACTGTGGTCATTGCTGAGCTCACAGAAGAGCTCCAGAACAAGTGCATCCAGCTGAACAAGCTGCAGGATGTGGTGCACGTGCAGGGAGGAAGCCCGCTCCAGGCTTCTCCAGAGAAAGTGCCTCTTGAGGTCCACCGGAAGACCTCAGGCTTGGTGTCTCTCCATAGCAGGAGAGGAGCCAAGGCAGGGGTGTCTGCTGAGCCAACAACCCGAACCTATGACCTCAACAAACCCCCTGAGTTTTCCTTTGAGAAAGCAAGAGTCAGAAAGGACTCCAGGTAAGCAATTACCAGCCCTCCTCACTCAGATGGCTTTCTATTGTGAAAAACTAGAGCAATATGTTCTAGGAAGGCCCGAAATGCCAGAGAGCATATAAACTTCCAGATTTGGAGATAGAGGAGTTTCCCAAATGTGTTTGTTTTTCTCACATTAAGCAGAAGTTTTCTTTAAAGGAGGAATTGTACTTTGTCTGGACTTTGAGGTACACAGCATTTGTATTAATAGGTATAGAGCCAGGTATAACTGAGGAGCTAAGTTTACGGATAGTTATTTTCATTATCTGGAACCCCTGGTAGAGTGATGAAGCAATTTTAGGAAGTCTACACTTTTTCTTTCTAGTGGAGTAAACATAAGAAGTGCAGTCAAACTACAATGAAATGCAACTGCATAGAGCGAAGATACTTCTTAGCAGTTAGTCTTCAAGCATCACCAGCAAGGAACCTGCTGGAGGCTCAGAGGAAATTGACTTCATTCGTTCTCTCTGCAGTTTCTATTGAGCACGACTCTGCTGGCCACTGTGCTCGATACTTAAAACAAATAGACACAGGCTTTCTCATTCAAAAAAGAGACAGTGACTGCAGAAACAAAACATTCGTAATTATGAACTGGGGTAAATGATCTGATGGAAAGCGTCTGAGGTGGGTGGGGAAGGAGGCAACGAGAGCAGGACATTGTGAAGGTGTGGCTGAGGAGGGGACCTTTGGCTGGGATCTGAAAGGGGAAAAGGAACAGGGACCAGGTGGAAAGGGCATTTCAGGCAGAGAGACAATTAAAAGCTAGAATTAATTTTGAGAAACGGAATTATCTCCTTAAAGACTTTTTAAAATTTACACGTAATAATTGTGCATAGTGATAGGCAGTGTGATGGCTCATCGCTTGTACACAGCCTTTGCTGAGCAAGTCAGGGTGAATAGCATTTCCATCTCCTTATCACTTCTTTATGTTGGGAGCAAAAATTAGAATTTTAAAAGAACATAGAATGTGTGAGTGTCTGTATATGCGTACATTTCTTTTGTTACGAGGCTTTGTTTCTTTCAACATAAAGATTGATTAGAAATGTGAGTCAGGGCCCCTTTTCACATTATTTTTGAGTAAGTACTTAATAATTGAAATGAGATGGCTTGCCTGATAATGTCTTGGTTGATTCTGGATCTTTGTTGCAAAATGCAGGTCCTGTGAAATTAAATCAAATTTTAATTTATTCACAAACACAAGTACTATAAATTGAGATAAAACATCCAATTTATACAGATAAAAATGACTAATTTTGACAACAACAGTATAAAGGGAAGTTTAACGCTTCTGTTTGTGGACAGTAGTTGGCACATAGTGAGTGATCAATAAGTACTTGATAAGAAAACTAGTCATACTGCAACATGAATCATACTGTTCTGTGAGTGAAAGAAATCCAATTAATATTACACTTCAGAGGTGTTTTATTAAATCAGATACTTTATTATCAATTGGTTGGAAAGGTCTTCTCTATTCCCTTAAAAGTAATATGTATTTATTTGTAATAGTATGAATTCACACATTTGCATTTGATTTTAAAAAATTGAATATCATCCCAGTATTCTTTTTGGTATATCAGAACATATAATAGGATTATATATTATGAATTTTATTACTATGTATATAAACAGAAGTATAATATTTGCTCCTCAAAATTGTTTCAAATAGCAATGTGCTTTCATGTACAGAGCAATGTGTAAGAAAATTTCTTAGCATTTCATCTTCTTTGACCCTCTCCTTGCATTAGTTACCAGATTTCCCTTCTTAAGTCAAGACTATGTTCATTTACCTTGTTCAAAGACTTATGCTCATCTTGAGAAAAAATGCGATTCTCCTGGTGCTGAATAGTCTGAGATAAGCAGCTCCCTTTGAATTGCTTTATGAGCTCTCTTTTAGCCAAGCAAAGAAATCATTAGTTATGTACTGCCAATTTCTGAGCCAAGCCACACTCCTTTTCTCCTGTCTGTGGTTTGTGGGGTACAGGAAAGATATTGTATCTTCTGAACAAGAATTATTGATGATCCTTCTCACCCTAAAGGTAGGCTAAGTGGGTATAAGTCCATGCTGAGGTCAGGACAAAGAAAAGGATTAACTGATTTCTTAGTGATTAGTCCTAAAGACAGCAAACTAGATTGTTCAAACTAGATCTAATAATTCTCACTGGCTTCCACACAGCCTCATGACTCCACATTTATAAATGAAGTAGAACATGGAATCACTCTTTTCTCATTGACTGCTTTGTGCCTCAATTTCCCTTGCATGAGTACAAATATATCTCTCCTTAGGTCTGAAGCAACTGGTTACATGCGGCTTAACTTCATTATTTGGAGACTTAGTTTTTAAGGGTTTCTGAAGTGTTCAACATTAATAATTCATCTTTCATTTTCAAATAGTTTTGGAAAAAGTCAGAACCAAACTTTGGCTATTTTTTTATCTTTTTTGTGCAATTGATAAAAAATTCTGTAAGAAACAATTTTCTAGAAGTCAGAGCATTAAGAAGATAAGAGTGTCCTTCCTTGATAAAAGGACAATACCCACTATCCATTGGTTGGGCTACTTTTCTAACAGGGCTTAGGGAATGTTGGAAAAATTAAGACCCTTAGTCAGTATGGATCCTCTGTTTATTCTGAGGGTCTCATAGTTTACTTGCTGAACTGTTAAGAAGTTTCATAGATTAATTTAAGACTAAATTTGTTCCTATGTGTATGAACTACATTTTGGATACAGTTCATCCTCCACATTGGACCAGAAAGCCATTGGATGCTTTTCCACATTTTTGTCAAAAAGAATGTCTCCGAATGACTACATCATAGTGAGCAAGATACTGAGGGGACATACTTGGTTTCCTGTAGCCAGCAGAACTAGGGAGATAGAAACACTGATGGGAACCAGAGGAGGGAACAATCTGAGGGAATGATACAGCTGGAATTTGAGGGTTCTATTTCACTAACTCAGGAGAGAGTAAAACTCCTGACGTGCCAGTCTGTAGTTTTCTGAGTCCTCTGTGCTCAAAGTTATTGTGAACCGTCAGTGAGTCACCTCCTCTCCAAGGCAGCTCCAGCTCTTACAACATCATTGTCCTGTACCCACTAGGTGTAATGTTAGGATCCGAAGGGGTAATATACATAGTTGCACTTTCATGCTTTATGTGCAGAAACTTACATAAACGGCACTGGGGAATTCTAGAAATTTGCTTGAAAAATTCCATGGTCTGCTTTTTAAGATGAGGTTCTAAAATAATTCAGGGCTGTCCAGTGGGACACTCTACAGTGACAAAAATGTTCTATAATTTGTGCTCTCCGGTATATAGTCAGCAGCAAGATGTGTCATAAGCACTCAAAATGTAGCTGCTGTCACTACACAACTGGATTTTCAATTTTAATAAATTAAAAAAAATTAAATACCCACATGAGTCTTACTATGTTTGATATTGCAGTTCTAGATTACATAGTCCAGCTGCTGTTGCATGAGCTGAGAATTATGACCTAGTGGGGTTTGGGAATACTTCATGGAGAATGGAAGGCCAGTGTCAAGTTTTGGAAGAAATGTGCATGTGCCTGTCAGATTGAGGTGGGCACAAAGTGGAATTGCAGTAAAGCTGCCCTGAACCCGCTCCGCCCTTTGTGATGATGTAGCTTTGTGCCACCAGACCATTTTAGATCTTCGAAGACAGACCACTACATGGGCACACAGCCCATTTCTAGTACAGGCACTTGGCTTTGTTGAAGTATTTATTATAAATCACATGATGAGTCAGTACACTATAGTCTATCAGATATTCTGATCTCTGATCTGAAATTAATATGGAGAACATCAGAAGACATTGGAGCTCGAACCTCAGACTCGGTTCCATGCTACCCTCCTTCTTGGAGAAGCCCAGCAGCAGGTGCAAGAAAGTGAACGGAGGCTGCAGGGAAGGTGGAGAGTGAAGATTGGCCTCCAAGACTCCTGACTGAGGTGAGTTCTTCTCACCAGGCCTACTCCAGTGTTCTCAGATCTACCTGTAGGAGCGAGAGGCCTCCAGGCAGACCAGTCTGGGAAGCATCAGCTTGTTGAGAATGTGTCCCATTGATTGGGAGTTAGACTGGTGCTGCTTCCTGCTTCTTCCCTGTGGAGCTGAGCAGAGCCTGCCCAGTGCATCAGTGGTTACCAAGAGCTGCAGCTTCGAAGCTCAGGACCCTGAGAAGAGAACACAGAGGCTGGGTTAATCCATCTGGCCCAATGGTCCAAACTGTGGTGTATGTGGAGGATCACATATGGGTTCTTGGATGAAATCAGTGCTTCTCAAGGCTGAAGCCTGGATATCAAGGCAAAGGAATGCAGGGAAGAGCTCAGATAACATTTCTGTCTCAGACCTGCTGTGAGCACCAAGACAACCTTGCATCCAGAGGTCAGCTCTTGTACTGAAATTAAGTTTCCTGTTTATGTAGACATTGCTTAGCAAACTTTAGCACTGGCAGAGCAAAATTACCAGCTCGTGCTGAGCGTCTGGTGGAGCACAGGCAAATTAATCAGAGACATCTGGCAAGTAGCTGGTATGACTGCCTTTCTCTAAGAATGCTTAAACTATCATTTGAAACTATTGTTCTTTCATGAAAAGGAAAGATAAAACAAAGACGTGCCATCTGACTTCAGATGTTGCCTCCAGCTTTAGGAAGGACAATTAGTTTTATTTGTCACTCCCACCCCAGGAGCAGGATAGGTAAAAGTGGAAAATGCTAGTGAGTCATGCATTTAAGGAAGATGTGGAAAAAGAGGGAGGGAGAGTATGCTGTTATTATTTGTGCTTTCTTTGTAAAGCAGTACTGAGCCATTGAATGTGTATTAGAGAAATGCTTCCTTTATTGCATAGGAAGGTTTCCATGGAAAAAGTAATATATATTACTAACTTTGTGTGTGCCACCACCCTGAATGCTTCATAAATAGAGAATCAAGTAGTTCTCACAACAAACCTGTCTTGTCACCCGCCTGCTACATATGAGAATAC